CTGGAGAGGGAGGAGGAAGATAAAGTCGTAATCTTTTTTCCCACTAATACAAGAATAAATTTTATTATTTCAACCAATGCATATGCATCAAGGCAGTGATAACAACGTTGCCAACGGTTTGATAAATGTGAACATTATATAGCAGATATCACGGAGAAACCCTATCGTGAACAATCATGAAGTGCACAGATGATGGGATCAGAAGGGTCAAAGAAAATTCGAAAGAGGAACTCGTGTTGCGTGTGACGAATATAGATTCAAAGCCTGGTGCTCTGACCAAGAAGTTCTCTGTCACGGATGACAGAGAAATACTCGAGGCAATTGCATCACACCGAGTTTCAAGTTTAATAGATTCATGTGGTGCCCGTCTGAATTCATTTGTAAAATTCCTGGACTACGCGTTCCTTGAGACAAATGGGAAACAGTAAGTGTATTTTCCTTTTGACAGAGCATTTTAAACACCAAAATATTCTGTAGGTCATTGATTGTTTCGGATGCATGCTTCCTGGATGGTGGAGTATGGAAGCGCACACACTCAAACCCTATCCTTCAAGATATGAAAGTGGTAAGTCCTTTCTTTGGTTTTAATTCTAAAATAACTGCTACAATTGAACTTGCCAGGGTCAAAAACGAGCCCAGGAGTCCATGGAAAAGGTATTTCACGTCTAAACCAGTTTATTCAATTTGTTCCCTTTGATACAGGGAGAGAGCTCAAAAAAGGCCGTCATAAAAGAGGTGTTCATCAAAGAAATCAGTGACCGTTCTTACAGGTGGTCCTTCCGTGCAAGAGTCACACACAAGAACAAGTTGATACATTTCAACACGAAAAGATCTGGATGCATAATGTCATTTGACGTTGTCGATGTCCAGGGAACAGAGATTAGAATTATTGGCTCCGATGATTGTGCCTTGGTTTTGTCAGATAAGATTGTACAGGGTACAGTGTATTCATTTTCTGGTAGTGGTGGAATACGACGTTCCAATCAGGCATACACACCATTTGAAGTGACATGGGAGATTCAGGCTAACAAAGGTATGGTGTTTACAGCTTTGGATGAGGATGCAACGTTCCCAAGAATTGTCTTGGCAAAAACAAGCATATTAAGTGCGTGTCAGAAGGAAAGGGACTCTTTTGTCGATGTGGTTGGTATCGTAATATGGATTGGTACAATTACAGTAACATCTCGTGACAGTGGAACTTTTGTGAAGAAGAGAACATTGTGTCTAGGTGATGATTCAGGCCACAGTGTTGATCTATGTCTCTGGGATTTAAAAGCAGAAGAAGAGGGCTCATATATACAGGAGCGGATAGACAGTGGAGTTCAGCCAATAATATGTGTCAAGGGTGGAAAAGTATCAGACTACAATGGTAAATCACTTTCAGCAATTGGTGTGAGCACCATTCTTATTGAACCGGAAATGGAAGCAGTGGCTGATTTGAGAGAATGGATGACATTGTACTACAATGTCACTAACTTCATACATTTGAGCACTTCATCATCCAGACAGACTGTTAGCTGCACCACTACTTTATCAGAGATATCAAACATGCAGTTAAAGGTGTTAGAGAGTTCCCCTATCTATAGAGTGATAGCTACTGTGAAGGAAATGAAGACAGATGAGTTTTACTATAATGCATGCATCAATGTCGTGAATGCACGGCAATGTGGCAAAAAAACTACCCGAACAGCAGATGGTTGGTTCTGCAATTATTGCAATTTTGAGTCTGGAGTTCAAGTATGCTCTAAAGATGTGCATCGAGGATAGTAGCAGTCATGTGTGGGCCATTGCATTTCAAGAGGCTGCACAGGAAATAGTGGGAATGTCAGCAAAGGAACTAGCTACAATGCGAGATGAGAACTACCTTGCATTTTCACTACTTATCGATGGTATCCGCTCAAAGATTTACAAATTCAAAATCCGGAGCAAGCTTGAAAAATACCAAGACATGGAGAAGCTAAGGTTCTATATACTTGGACTTGACACCTAAGGTATGCAGATTCCATTCTAATCTTTTACACGTTGATATATTTATCTGTGTTTTGTTTTGTAGTTACATGGAACTTGCAAAAACAAATAAAATAAAACACACCTCCTAGCAAACATCAGCTCTGTTTGATGGTTATCTGTAGCAAGAAAGGAATGTCAAGATACAAAAACTAAAAAAGGGAAAGAACAACAACACATGATTCTCAAGTGGACAATAAATGACAAATGCATCAACTGTATCAGAATTTAGCATGTTATAATGAACAAACACATAGACCACCAGAAAATACAGTCATTTATACTTCAATACACATCGCTTGCTTGCAAATGCAAAACCAGCCATTCTATACCAAAAAACCCTTTACCATACCATCCCATTAACTACTCTTACCTCTGGAATGCCCAAATAATATACCAAATTGAGGAATATGATTGAGCCACCTCTTCATGTGTTGAATAATTCTTTTAAGCTTTGAGTCCAAGCTTGTATTATTCTATTCCAGTTAAACATTTAAGAAATAGTGTTTGGTTGCAATCACTTAGTAAAAACTAAATAAACCAAGTGCTTGTTACATATTGAACTTAAGCAAGATTTAATAAATTGTTCTCTTTTTAGAATTAGCATCTAACTATCCCAGCGGAGCTGGGTTCCCTGCTAGTTTAAAATATAATATACCTTTGAGTGAAGTATATTCCTACTCTTAAAATTGAAATCATATGTATTGAGCAAATGACAATCCTCCATATTTAATTGAAAAATTGCATAAATGCACAAATGTGTTAATGTTCTTT